GGTTTAATATTTCATAAAAGCCCATCAAATCTAAATTTAAATCAGACGAAACCTAACCCATATTTAATGCCAAACAAAAGATCCTCAAACCATTTATAATACCTAAATGCCAGATTTATGTTTGTTCAACATGATGTGGTTCTATCAAGTAATAATGGTCACAATTCAAATACTCTGGGTTGATTTTGAAAAAAATAATCAGTGTTTTGCGTAATCTTTTTACACGTGACTCGTTCCTCTCTGAGTGAACTCTCAGCTAATGTTGGAAATCACTGTTTCAACTGTGGGGAATGACACCTTTGCAGCTAATGCATACATATTATATCTTAGTAAGTGTGAGTGTAACAAGACACTAATATAAAATATTATTTAATTTGTCAAAGGAACTATAAATGTGTTGTTTGGGCCCTTATTTTCTTCATTCTGAACAAACATGAAAACCCCAATGAATGAGAATTAATCAGGTTACTTAAATGGCCTACATTGAAGTAGAGGCCTTCATACTGGCAGCCACAGCTTTCCACAGGGACACAGCTGCTTCCACTCCTGGAAAAACCATCATCACAGAAACATCCCTCAGAGCAAACATGGTCACAGGTGGCATCAATGCTGCTGGCACAGGTGTGGCCGCAATCTGTTCCGCACAGCTCATAATGACTGTTGGCTGGGCACTCAATTTCTTTACATGGGGAAAAAAAAAACAAAGTGTGAGCTGGATAAATAAGTTTCAGCAGATAAGATGCTATAGTTCAAGAGACTATTGAATAAAACACTTGTTGGATTGATTACTCTAACATTTAAGGGCCTTCTATACTTACTGCAGGTGGTGTTTTGTCTCCAAGGATAGACTCGGACATTAGCAGACTGACAGGCACTCACATATGCTTCAAGAGCACTACACAGAAGATCACTGCCCCGATTTCCCGACACACAGACATCAAAGACACAGTCTTTGAAATATGGTGACGGATCCACCACCTCGTGGCAGAAGCTGAAGGGGCTGTCAGCTGCCTGAATCATCTCACATTGGGACCTGGCAGATTGGTCATCATTACATTGAGGGCATGAGGAGCCACAGCCATCACTGCAGGTGTAGTTCCCAGGAAACTTCCAGGCTGCCCCAAAAGTATCTGGAGTGTTGACCAGTGCTCCACTAGGGGAGTGGAAGTCATCATTTTGATCTCCATTGAAGTTTCCACAAAGGCCGACCATCTTTTTTCTGATGGACATAAGATAAACTGAGAAGAATTTTGTATAAAATCCTCGGTGAGTCTAGCTGTTTTTTGTAAAGTAAATAACAAAGCAGTAAGAAATAAAGAGGCCACACCAATGAAAAGTCAGGGTAAAAAAACACACATAGTGTTAAAAAAAAGAAGAAAAATCTATTGTTCAAAGATGAATACACTTGAATTAGTATTTTAATATCTGCCTA